TTGCTACTGGGCACTAWGCCGTTCTAGCGGTCTACAATTACGTTATCTTATCTACTAATCAACTAATGTCCAATACTAATAACTAATAAGTATTAAATACTTAATATTATACGACACTCGTTTCCGTTCGTAATATTTATACTAACCGCTTATTTACATTTCTAATTAGTTAGAATACCTACAAATAATATAATGTACGTTGTACACTTGAACGTACAAATAAAAAAGGAAAACATAGATCACAAGAACGAAAAATATAAATTATTAATAATGAGTAACACACAGTTAAAATAATTCATACTACAATATATTTATTTACATTCATATACATTTTATACTACTGAGTTGAGAATTCATAAACATTTTTTTTTTTTAAATCTAAGATTTGAAAATGTAATACAAGCTTCCTCATAAGTTCCTCTATCTTTATCAAAAACAAATGTCTCCAAGCAAATCAAATTAAATTTTTATGAGCGTTTGAAGATCATATTTTTACAATACTGGATATTCACTCGATTTCTCGTGTAGCGGTTTTCTTATTTTCTTATTATTTAAAAACGAATAACTCTAGATACATGGAAATTATACTGAAACTGAATGTTTATATTTTCATTTATTATACACCATAAAATGTTGAAAATATTTGGCTCTTTTTGAGCTGCTAACGGACATTGTCAGTTTTAAATTTTTTTTCTATAATTGTAAATAGAATTTATTTGTTGGGTAAAAATAATGCGTGCAAATTCAATACAAGGCTCCTCATATATATTGTTACAATAGCAGTTGAAAAATATTAAAAATACATGGGCATAATTTTTTTTTTTATAAGTATTTAAAGTTCAAATTTTGGCAAAATTTATCAAATTGAGAATTTAGAAATTATCAATAGTTAAAAGTGTATAAAATGTTAAATTTTAATAGCTAAGGATTAAAAATTTTAAAAAAAGCTTCCTCGTAAATATAGGTAAGCATAGAAATGACTTTATTCACAATAATATAATCAAATATACTTTGTAATAATAATAATAATAAATTTAACACTATCTATTACAGTGACCTACTTGTAACCTACTGTACAGCAGAGCGACATCCACTTACCCACCTTTTTTTTTATTTGTGTTCTCTTTTTATCAACATTAGAAGAAAAAGAAAAACTTAAAAAAAATCAAATATTTTAAATGCCTATAAACAGCTTAAAAATAAACGAAATATTTTGAAACTTAATGTGTCAAGTTTCTAATTTTAATAATAACAAAAATCTGGAATCGTAAAAAATAAAACTTTAGAAACTCGGAAAAAAATTTTTAATTGACATCTTCGACTTCTTGTATAATTATCGTATGCAAAACTAATCAATAACATTGTTTTAAATTTTAAATTCTTATCTTTTTATATAAAATTGTTTTTTTTAGTTTTTTATTTTTAACTGAAAAATAATTAGCAAATATTTGTAGTTTTGACAAATTTTGTCAATATTTGAATTGCAAACGCTTATAAAAAAATTGGGCCTATGTAGCTTAATAATTATTGAATTACTGTAAGATAAACTTGTATGGAATCTTGTATTAAATTTTCAAGTATTTTGTACCAGCGAAATTTTTTTTATCAATATTTATAAAAAAAAAAAAAACTAAGACAATGCCAATCTAAACAACTAATGAAAGTTCCAAGTATTTTTAACTTGTATAATTACAAATATCTAAAATTATTTGAGGATAAATCGTTCTTTTAAACGATTCCGTAAAAATTTAATTTTCAGACGGTCATAAAATGTTTTTCTATTATGAATCGAGCTTATAGTTATTTGAAGGTAAACTTATGGAGAAACTTATATTGAATTTTTTGACCTTAGGTATAAATGCTAAAAATGTTATAAAGTATCTACAGTTTTTATGGGCATTTGAAAAAAAAATCCACATTATTTAAAAAGCAATAATAATAAATTATATTTATTCATTGGTTATTTGCTCGGCTCAAAATCTAAAATATAATGTAATGATCACTTATTTGGCTCTTYATCACATGGTACGTCAACTGAAGTACTGCAGGTACTTGTTGGTGTTTTCCTTTTGTAAACATAATAATATGGTTAAAAATATATCCATACTTACTGTATTATATATTATATTTATATCTCTGCAGATATAAATAAATCTAAATACAATAATTACTTTGATCCATCTGCGTTTGGAGTATTTTTTTGGGGCTAGGTTAATTGAGTCCGAGATAAGTTGGGTACATTTTGAAAGCGGTAAATTGAGTCCTGGGGAAAAATAAGTAGTAGGTAATTTGAGTCCCAGAGAAAAACAATTTATATGTATTTAAAATTTAAAAATATGCACTATAAAATTTTTATTTGTGATTAGTGCAATTTGTTGTCATTGACTACATGTATATGATTTTGAAAATAGCAACATGCATTTTTATTGCATAAAAAATAATTATATAATTAATAAAAATGCATKTTGCTATATTCAAAATCATATACATGCAGTCAATGAATGTCTACAAATCACAAATAAAAATGTTATAGTGCATATTTTTAAATTTTAAATGCATATAAATCGTTTTTCCTTGGGACTCAAATTACCTACTACCTTATTTTTTCCGGAACTCAACTTACCTACTACATATTTTTCCCCGGGACTCAATTTACCAACCCCGATTTTTTTCAGTCGCAGAGCTGCAGGTCGTCAAATTATCTTGAACGCGTTTGCTAAACGATGTTTAAATTTCGAGTATTTAAATTTGTTTGTTTAAAATCACGAGCAGGCCCCTTAAAGTCTTTTAAATTATAAATTCATTAAAATTAGTGAAAATTATGGTTTAATATTTTGATTATTAAGCATTTGGTAATATAATTGTAATTAAATTGATTTTTTTTTTTTACATATTGTTACCAAAATATAGTATAAAAATAAACTCTATAATTGTTAATCTTGACTAACAATTATTATAAATTACTATAATAATGAAAATAAATAAAAGTATATATATAAAACAAAATAAAGCCATGAATTACACGAAAATTTCACCTGTACATTGTGAATTTCAAAGTAATTTCATCATAGTTGATGTCATGTCCTCACTAAGTGGTTAATGTATTATAAATTCGAGCGTCATATCGTTTAAAAAGTGCTTAACATAGTTAATTATATACGGAGACGCCGAAAGCTAAGCAATAGTAGCTTAGTGCATAAAGTAAAATTTTCTCAATTGACACAACTAAGAGTCCATGAGTGAAGACATCACCACCTTAAGCATATAATAATAGTATAATTAATCGCCATCGGAGTACTTATTCATAAAATAYAATTTTCTATTAAGAAATCAGCATTCAAAATGTTGACGTCTATTATCCATATAACGTCATATTTTTAAGTTATACAAATACAATATCGTGATTTTTAAATACTATTCGTAGCAGTATAGTTTTACCATCATATTGTGCGTGTCGATTTTTGTTTAACATCAACTTCATAGTAATCCGGAAGTAGGTACATCGGTTATGAACCTTCATTAGTTTTTCAAAAAATAGTTTTAACTATTATTTTTGTTTGATATTTTCACTTAAAATGTTGAGAAAATTAGTTGTTTAAACGATGAATAATAATACTTAAATAAGCTTTTAAAATATAAAACGAGATTCACCATAAGTTTTTTTTTACTGCAGAATTAAAAGTAATATATATTTTTCAAAATATCTCGACAAATTTTAAGTTATAAATATATTTATACTATGAACCTCTTCACACCGTTTAACGATACACAATAATTTTGTTAAAAATTAGTCTAAAATAACTTACTTTAATAATTATAAAATAAATTACTAATTGGTAAATCGTTTTTCGGTATAATGATTTCCCATTAAATTAATTCAAATTTACAACATATTATATTAACTGCGACCTATTCAATGATACTGCAGAGCGACTTATCAAATTTTGTTTGTTTTTATAATTCGTAATCGGTTATCCACATCGCAATATGTTTGGTATAATCATTTTTGATTTTTGATTTGTGCTGGCACAATCATGTATATTGCAAGCAATTACTATTATAATATTTTTTAATACAATACATATATTATTATATGTACACCGAATGGCAGCACAGCGTACACGAGCTGCATAACGAATAAAATATGATATTATGTAACAAGGATTTCCTCGATTAGACTACCTTTTATAATACATTTTAATAATTAATAAGTATTAGCATTCGAGTGCTCGCGTTTCCTTAATATTTTTCATCGTCATTCCAGCCGTCTCCGCGTTACTATACAATCTCGCCTATTATTATCGCAAACCACCGGCACCAAAACGATTATTGTACACTCATACAGTCATACTACGTACTAATAATCGTATAATTATATAATATAGTTCTAATATACGTTTAACTTGTTAATACACGTTTCTATATATAATGCATAAACTCTATGACGCACATGAAGCACACACACACATAAATATAATATATAGTAGCATAATATATATATATATATAATATATATATATATTGATGAATCACTTTGCAAATCGTTTGCCTCGGGACTTACACCGGTTTTTCACTTCCCCATGAGTCGTCACTTATTGCAGTTGCCGAACATTTTATAGTCTATTTTTACAACACAAATAATGCGATCGAAGAAGTTGTTGTTGTTGTTTAGATATTTATTACTCGGTACGTAGAAAATCACATTTAATATTTTATTATAAGTATACATATACGACTTGTATTATACTATTATAATACGACTTCGCGAGGTTGAGATTAATCCGCTGGCTTAGTGCCAACGTTGACCTTGGCTACAGCGGAAAAACACGGCACTCGCCGTCGGACAAGTTTGGCTACCCATCCCACCCGACCATCAAGTCCTCCCCACTGCCGGTGGCTGGCCCCTTTTACTGATTTGCGGATAGGCCGTCAGCCGTCCGCCCGCCACCCACCAAATATTCTACACCTGATGTCCTGATCGCACATCAGAACCGTTGTCGACTTTCAGTAGCAGTAGTGCAGCGGTAGCGGTCGATATTGTTTTCCCAGAGAGAAGTTTCCTGAACACAAATAGTCTCTCCACTTCAAGTCGACTACAGAAATTGTCTTACACACACAATGTAAGTTTTTCCCGACTTCAATTTTTTATACCGGYCCTAGAATTTCGATGCCCGCGTAAACTTCACTAGCCCAATCATTTCGCTATATTATATCGAGATTATATTTACGTTTACAATGTTTCATTTCCGCGTTTCGATTTTTAGGAAATTTCAAAAATCACAATACCTTAAATTATATCTGTTAATCGATTTAAAATTTAAAAAAAAATACAACATAACGTTCCGTGTTAATACATAAATTTGCGCGCACTTGGTATTTATATTGCAATATTAAAGTTTATTCTTCATCATTCTTATTTGAGTTTGACATAAAAACGTAATTTTRTCACTAAATTTTGAAATAAATGAGTACAATAATAATTGACAATTGTATTATAATATTTTATTATTAATTATAGATATTTACTTTTAATGCATTTTAATGATAATAGCTGTTACATGTTATAACTAAAAAAAAAARTTAGAATTAAGCAACAATAAGTTTCTGGATGCTTGAACATTTACTTATAAAATTTTTTTTTTGAACTAGATACCTACGTACCTAATATTTGAATTTTTTTTTTATATTCTCAGTTTAGTTTTTATAGAAAATTACTACTTTTACCAAGATGTCTCATACCAATAATTTCAAGAAAATGTTAACCATTGCCGTGGTTTTCGGCGTAGCGTTTGCCGCTCCCAATAAAGACAAATCTGAACAGAGTAACGTAAGTAATATTTTAATAATATTCTTATATAAAATATATCTATTCTGTATATTTTTTTTCGCTTAATATAATATTTATACTCGTGTTATGATTTCTTTCGACACATACGTTTATTTACCAGTTTTTTTAATTTCCTCCATGTAATAAACAAGTAATAAGTGAAGTTTAAAYAGTAAGCTGAAGTGCGCATACCAAGTTTTCTTGAAGTTGCCTCAGATGTTCTGGAGTAATGTATTGAAACATAAATAGTACACCACATAATTTTTTTTTTTTTACATTTTATACTTATTTATTATCTGTATTCTTATTCAACTGAATTATTCTTTTCAAAATATTTTACTTTCCCAAATAATTATAACAAAATTGTAGGTATATACTGCAATCAATAGTTTAGTTTTTCTCCATTATTAATTATTTTAATAGATACTTATTGAAATCCTCAAAATGGTATGGCTATTATAAACTAGTGATACTATACTATTATGAATATTACGACGGGTGTGGTGAAAATAGCAAATATATATAATGTACGATTATGTGGTCTTGGGCACGTAACTTGAACGTAACGGCTAACAATTGAGTTTAAAATTATAAATCATGAAAAATGTAAACAGCTATATCCCTATCATTTACACGTATTTTATGTCAAACGTATATGACATACACATAATATACATATACAAGTATGCATGTATAAACGCGGTGACGAGTGTTCTGTGCCATAATCTATGTGCGAGATTTGGCTATATTTAATTTTTTTTTCCTGAGCGTAAGAAACATTTTTTTTAGCTGTTTCTAATTATAAATTCTTTAATAATTTAACCGRCGTAGAATAACTTGTCAAACAATTATAATAATTTAATACGACTCAGTTGCGCATAACTTTAAGATTTCTCAGATTTTCAAATCAAATTATTTTTATATCAAATCTGAATTGAATTGCAAAAAGATTAACATTAATTACTTGTTATAAATATTAAAATATGGCTGATTGATAGGGATGTGGTCCATTACTCAAGATAAAGTAATTCCTCCTAATTACATCACTAATACAATGTCCTTGCGGACGACACGTAGACACTTTATAGACACATAGATCACCCCGCTGAGTCTTGTACAAGGACGTTGTACTGATGTGCATTATAGATATTATTATAAATACATAACATAAGAAATATCTACCAACGATCGCTTGTCGTTCCGGTTGTTGATCGCGCTAATTACGCTTATTGAAAATGAAAATATTAAATTTATACACACATAATATTATGTTATTAAATCGTTCGTACCCGTATCATGGAATATACATATATATATATATATATGTATGTATTTTACACGCGTACAATGTATTTATGACGATTTTTTCATCAAGGCTTACATATTATAATTATTATAAATGTTATAGTCAGTTCATTGTGTTGGTCTTTATTATTGCGCGTGATTTTCCATTACACGTCGTCGTACTCAAGTAAATCCACTAGGCACTTATAATATAATTATAAATATACACGCGCACACGCTCATTCAACTACACTAGATGTTACTAAATCTCTTTGTATTGTTATTTTCACACATTCGACCGATTGGTATAGTGTTGAGAAATTCTCATCCGTATACCAATCATTCATATTGTACCAATACGCTRTACAATGACGGCAATAATATTATTATAATGAATAGTTGGTGCATAGARGTAAATAAGTAGGGTGTATTATGAGGCCATTGACGTGAATCTCGTTTCTATATAATTAATAATAATAATTTATAGTTAGGCACTATTTACGAGTATTATGTAGTTCGTGTTCTGAAATTTTCCACGGCCGTTAAAGTCTCTCGTGCTTCTTATTCACGGTCACATCCACTCACTTATTCCGTCATCATCRACGATGCTTAAACACATATTTTATTWAGGAGTGAGGGACATCTTAAAGCAAATGACGCAGTATTTGTCTTCAACTTTTAAGGATCTATTTATTTTAAAAAATGTTAGCTTATACACGCAAACACTATTGGTTTATATGCGGATRTAATAGTTTGTATAATATACAAGGGAATTAGACAAGTTCAATTTCAACCTAGATAAATAGTTGTAAACATAAACGATGATTTRAATATTAAGAATAGTGAATAATTATAGTATACTTATATACTATATATATTAAAGATATATTAATTATAATTTATTTAATACTATATGGTTTAACTTAATATATATGATATATGATAATTATTATATAATAATATATAATATATTCATCATAAAAATATTTTCATTTACAGGAAATTGTTCAATCCGGATCGTTCATAACGAAAAACGGAGACTCTGTATCTGCTTCGTGGGGAGGTTTCCACGCAGCTGCTTCTCTGGCTGATGATGGCAGTGCTATGGCTTCCGCCGGCGGCAACGGCCTTGGTGCCAGTACTGGGTACGGTCCAGGAGGCGCCGGAGCTGAAGCCAGTATCGGATCCATCAGCGCTAGCGAATTTGCGTCGACCGGAAAGCCAATAAAACCAAGTACCGGAGGATACGGTAACAGTGGAAAACCTGAAGGGCCATACTATTCAGGAGGAGTCGGAACCGGAATCGGAGGCAACGGCAGTGGTGGTTTATTCGATAGGATTTTTGCCGTGAGTACCTATAACTATATTATATTGTACTAGGTCAGGGCGTAGACTGAATTTTTCCTGAGAGTATTTAAATTTAATATTTAAACATGMCATGAGGGGGAGGGGGCTTTGTGATGACACTTTTTCCATTGTGTCATAAATCTACATATTAATAATATCAAATGACAAATATTAAATTGAACTATATTATGCTCAATATATTTTGTAGAAATCTGAATTATCTTACATATTCTCGTACAYATAGGTACCAACATATATTTTTTGCGTAAATGATGGTGATCTTTAAAATCCCAAAATAGCTCACAGCTTAAACTACCTRGTTACGAAATCATGATACGATWTGGCATTAAAAATGTTCTGCACGTACCATTACGATGATTGTGTGACGCAGTATTCGTGCTCATTAAATATTTTTAATGTGTATATGAAAACGGAAACTTTTTTGCGTACATGACAACATGTTTATATACAACAGTACGCGTGCGCGTGTACCTATATAATCTAATTAAATATTAATATATTATAGAAATCGCTTGATTCAATTATGTGTTTTTTTTATGTTTAGATTCCCATCAATGTATTACAGTCTGTCAATACGTATTTAAACCACAAACAAATGCATCAAGGACAACCAGGTATACATTTATAATAATTAAAATAACAAATGAATAGGTATTTTTACATYCCGCTCACGTGTGCTAGTACGCTGTTGTTATTGATCTATAGGCTATACTATTATATTATTATGTATCAAAGAATAATGGTAATTTGTTTCTTTTTCGATTCTGCAGGAGTTGCGGTTCACGGTCAACACCAGAACAACGGTTTTGCCTCTGCCTCTGCGTCTGCTGTATCTGGCAGTGCCACGTACGGCAACGCTGACAAAGCTCCGGTAGCAGCTGTCGGTTCTGACTATGGACACGAGTCTGCTGGAGCCTCCGGAAACGGARAAGGCGCTTCGATGATGGTACAGACAAAAACAAATTACGATGAAATATTCAACGTACGTGTTGTGTGTGATGGTGGTGATGTAGTAGTACACACACACACGCCTAACTTGGTTCTAACAATCTAATACAATAATAATAATAATAATAATAACTAAACTCGACTTGGTATATAAGTTTATAAGCAATATAATATTAAAGACTATCAACACATTATACATTAATACGCATACGGTGATGTTGATGGCATTAATTGGTTACTGAAATTGTAATATCATTCATAATCATTCTCATCTCAATTTATCATATCATTTAATAATAATAATAATAATATCTTCACTGTCGTTGTTATCGTTATTATTATCTTTAAGAAATATCAACTGTTGGAACAAATTTCATTTGGAATGTTTTCGTTAATATTTTTTAGATCCCGATCACGGCATTGAGGTCCGTCCAGAACCTGTTGAACGGTTAACTCGTCGCAGTTACTGAATAATGACGGTGGTGGTTGGAATGATGCTAAAGACAACAATGCAACCACACATACACACATAGTCTTAATCGTTAGAACCTTGTAATTTGTAATATTATTATAATACTGTGTAACGTTTAGTCTACGTGTAGCTTTGTACCGTGTGTACTCACGTACTATTTTTATATTTATTATTATTATTTTTTTTTTTTTATATATAAGTATTTGTATAATATAGTAGTGGTGTATACTACGTGGAGTGATTTTTTTGAAACTTCAGACTCCTGCATATTTCATATTACCAGGTGTATCTTATTTTAAATTCATCACTTCATATAGTATATTTACATTTTTTTTTCTATATTATATAATATCCCATTGTAATAGTATAAATAGTAATATTTTTCTTTTATTCATACTACAACATTGATTATTCATTATGTATGCATGTGAAGTACTGTGAAATATTATCAATGTAATTAATAAGAGTAATACGTACACGTATATTACGTATATGTACCTACCGCTGGCTAACTTTTGTACTCAWTTTTTTTTTTTATACGTATTTTTTAAATAATCATTGAATAAAAGAATGKTATTAATTTATATTATTGTGATAACATCATATTATTTTATTAGTTGTGGTGACGTCACAACGTGATAAGCAACCCGGGGAAGTTTCCCTGCTATAGTGTTAAGTGTATCTTATCATAAAGTAGGTCAAAGTAATGGATGTGTTGAATTTAAGATCAATGATTCATCATCATACAGAATAATATGATGAAAAACAATTCTGAGTAATGACGGACTTTCAGCATATTATATTAATATTGGTTAGTTAAATTATATTAGTCGTACATCCAACTTCGTCCGGAAAAAATAAACATAAAATAATAGGTATAAACCTATATAGCCGAATCTCGTTATTAKGTACTTAATTCACGGGCTAATCGGAATCTGTATAGTTTTTTGACAAATGTTGATGGTRAAAAAAGTTCTTTAGGACATCAATGAGGCAAGGATGTTGTAGTAGTAAAAAACTAGTAAAATTAATTGCTATATTGCACTAAAAAATACCGAAAATTGCATTTGAAATAATAATAACTACACTAAAAAATAACAACRTTTCGTTATAATTTATGGATGTTTTATTTTAATTCTATCAAAAAATATATTATTTACATTTTATGATAATAAATAATAATTAATAATGTATGCTAATGGTAGTCGGTAGATATTGACTTGTTAAAAAGTTAGAATTAACTAGTTAGTTATTTCTGTTTTTAACTTATTCAGTTAACTTTTTTTATTATTTTAACTTTATTCATTATCATATACATCATTATTGTACAGTTAAGTTAATTTAAATTTTTTTTATATAATGCAAAACCAACAGACAAAATGTATTCTTCCGATTTTTGAAGTCCAATTTTTCTAATAATATAATAAGTATCATCAATTTATAATACCTAAACAAATTATATTTTAATTGTAGGTACCTACTATACCTACTATAGTAAAAATAATATTAATTAGTAGGCATGTTATCTATTGTATGGACTAGCTATTTTCACGAGTTCTCTTTAATTATCTACTTGGTATTGTAAATCCGATTTTTGTTTTGTTTAACTCTGCAATTAGTGTAGATCTTAAAAGAGGTTTAAAAATAAATAACATAATCTTTAAATGGATATCAATAATATAAACTGGTAAATACGAAAATTCCTATAAACAGTATAAACAAAACAAAATGTCATCCGAGATATTTGATCTATGAATATTATGACTAGAATAAAAATTAACTATTTTTAAACTGATCTATGTTAATTTTATTTTCTATCATAACTTTTAACTTTTCTAATTAATTTTTTTTTTTTACTTTTAACTGTAACTGAGAGCAATTTAATTGAATTAACTTGCCCAACTTGATGTATGCGTATGCCAAACATTTTAAATATTTTAAATTTTGGAGACAATTAGTTTTTATACCTCGAAAAGCTTAGTTCTACGTATTGACGTAAACAGAGCATATTTAAGATAAGCTATATTGACTGCCAAGTCTTCGGGTAAATCATTGACACATTTTCTTTGTCCAGTGAGTATATAATTTATTTTAATACTGGATTTGAAATTTCAATAACTTTTTTGAATTTTTCATGGACTGAAATTCCGACTTTACAAATTAATGTACTATCTAATTTAATATTACATTAGTAGGAGTTTACCATTCCCCGAAAAGGGAACCGTAAGTTTTGTCCGAAAACGTTGACGCCTGCAATAATCACGTAGTAGGTACTACATTTTTGTTTTTACTGTTCAAAAACCGGGAACGGGTAGGAACTGTTCATCACAATATTGCCAACGACTACYTACTACCTACCCGACTTTATACTGGCCTTTTTGGGGGACGAAACTCTCATGATCCGGGCCTATTCTTTCGACACCAGTGTGGCATACATCTACATTCATTGTAAATTTGTAGTATTGTACATAATAACACAATTTTAATCCCTAACCCGGAATTCAGAGAAACACATCTTATACATCCTTTAAATTTAAAATGACCYCTGTCAGACCGTTGTAATATTAATGACTAAAGCTGTAAAAATAATGTATACAAAAACATTGAAGTGTAGAGGTGAGTGCTATATTATTTTATATAATATATCATTCGGTTTAAAATAGAAATCTGAGGGTTTAGGTATTTCGATAAAAATTATCTATAGGTAACATTTTATATAAATCGTTTCGAAAAAAAAAATGTTCACAATACCTATCATATATATTGTTATAACATATGTTACTATTGTATTTATATCGGCAATCGGCATTGCAGCAGTGTATATTATAAATGAGAGTACGATAATAATATTATGTAGGTTAGGTAGGTAACCTACCTAACCTATCTTATGATATATTATACTATATATTTTAATGGAAAAAGATGTGTATGGTTGACAGGAARYGTATTTACCTTTTTACCTGCACTGTTTATAAAAAAAAACCAATGCATTAAAATTTGAAATTCTGCAACCTTGTACCTACATGACAGTACCTTTATACTATATATATTTTTTTGTTAAAACGCGTGTTACTATTGTATTTCGATCAGTATTGTCGGCAGTGGTCGAAGTGAATCAAAAGAACTCGAGGAATTCCCTTGATAARTATAATTCTCATATTATACTGTATAACTTATACAGTCATTCATACTTAGGGGTGKGGATGAGTTTCACTTCTGAACACCTTTTTTTTTAATACAATCTTATAAACACATGGTATACAATTTAGTTTTTTAGCTYGGTAACCTACCTAAGTACTTACAATCCAATATATTTWGAATTTAAAACATAAMAAATATTACATGTATACTGTACAAATGTATAATTTATATAAATATATTATGCTTAAAGTATTAATTATGAATGTTAATTTATGTTMTACAAATTGTATTTGTTATATTTATTAAATTTTGTAAAATTAATCAAAAAGGTTGTAACTTTGAACTCTACACCGAATAATATTTATACTATTAATATGTATCATTKTTCACTGTAGTTGTCATTGGGGAATCACCGAWCAAAAGTCCGGGGAAAAAAAGTCCMACGAAMAAAAGTCCGRTKWCAAAAGTCCCRCGAAAAAAAGTCCGGCTTAAAGATACCCAATAAATCGAAAGCYATGTAGTTATATTTTTATATTATTATTTTTATTAYCTTTTTTATTAATTAAGTACCAAATAATTATAAATAAATTACAATGTTTTTTATATTTATACGAATAAATCCTTTTTTTAATGACCTTTTTAAGTGCTTTTTTTTATTTTTAGTGCATGTTTTTAAGTTTACGGGTTATATGAGTATATAAGCGCAGAACTGTACTAGAGCAGCTGTACCTTAAACTTTGGGGGGGGGAGGGGGGCTTAGTCCTCGAAAGTCTCCACTCCGATGTCCGCCTATGGCTATAAGTCCTGAACCCTGTATTATTACACATATACACTTCTTTTTTTTTTCAAACTTGCGTATAAAATAAACAGCACGTAACATTTGTAATGTCCGAAATTTAATTTATATTATCGTTTTTGGCGATTTTATAAAGTTGGGTCACCTAATCTTTACCTACTACTAACTTTCAGTATTTGCCATTGTAGGAGTCTCCGAGTATAACCATATATTAATATATTATAGATTATCGCGAAAGTCGTAAATAACAAATTTATTACACATCTTATCTTTACTTATTTTTCATTTTAAAAATGAATTGAGCTAGATTTTCCCAAGTGCTCAGTCAATGTTATAACGTAGGTATACGCTTTAATCGTACGTCCGTACATGTTGCGAAATTCAACGTTTTTATTAGTGTTTTTCAATTCAAATCTTATAAAAATGAGTGAAATATTTAAATTAAAAACAAAAGGTGATAACATAATCGGGTGTGCATAATTTTYGATAGTGGTTTACCCCTCGTAAATAATTAAACCGGAGTTTTATGACATCGGACTTTTTTTCGTATGACTTTTGTAACCGGACTTTTGTTCGGTGGACTTTCTTTCGCCGGACTTTTAGGTAGAATCCCGTCAATGGGTGGCTTTTTATTCAACACCTCACATTCTGTCAGAGGCGTGCCCAGGATCAAAATGTAGGATAGGCCCGGTTATAATTATTTTAGTTTATATATGTACACAATACACATTATTTTTTTTTTTTTTAGAAACTTAATAATATTTTTTAATTGAATTAGAAAAAATGATTATAAAATAATATAATACAACACAATTTATTCCTCCTATTTGACTTGTTAATGATACTTAAGCCCACCGCACACGACGCTTGTTTTGCTGCGTGATTGACTTGCTCGATTTCCTGCTTGGTCTCAGGTTTAGCTGCTGGGTTGGATGGTCTGATGGTCGCCTTGCGGTGTTGGCGTCACACGTTGATTGTTGCCAGACTGGATTTTTAGATTTTATCACTTAACTCTGATAACTCATCAGTAATCAGTGTTCAGTTTTAYCACAGTTCGCGCCAAACAATAAAGATTAAAGCTGCTAGACTAAAAACTTTGAAATTTCGGTGGCGAATTGTGGTAAAAAGCTTTTTCGTATTTCGTTGTTATAATATATTTTAATATAATTGAAATTATGGATGCACTTGTTGCTGAGGTCGTCCGTCGCCGAAAAAATGCAATTAGTGTTTTTTTGTTAATTGAAGGATTAAGACGAAGAAATAATAGTAAGAAGCCAGTTAGATTATGGAGTCGTTCGTGGCTATTGCGTCGTGACAAGCATCAAAGTGTTCTGAATATGCTTTTTGAAGAACTTGGGTACGTCAACTTAACATGTTTTA